TTATCTTCCTCCACTTTATATGGGACACCGCCACAGCAAGGCCTGATAAGCCGTGCATCGGTGCGCGCCTGGGATCCGAACCTGGGCCACCAGCAGTGGAGCACACTCACTTAACTGCTACCGCACGGGGCCGGCCCCGAAGCGTATCTTCTTAAATTCAAACCTAACTGGGACTTGCCCAAAATTTCCTCATGAGGAAAAAACAAAAGCCAAACCAAATATCATTTGATACTTAACACCAAAGCTTAATCCCCTATAGTCTGTGCAGCTAAAATTTAGTCTTTTATTTTGATCTTTAAAGTTCTTGCTAATTTTAGAGTTAATTACCCCTACCCCCACCGGTGTGTTAACATCATCTTTCCTGTATTTCGAATAGCTAATGACCATTTTTCTCTGTTGCAGGTGAATGCACAATATTTGCAGCTGTCCGTGATTTAATGGCTAATCTTACACTGCCCCCTGGTGGGCGTCCATAGACACTATTGTTTTTAAACCAGGAAGGCTGACAGATGAGACAAAACAACAACAAAAAAATCTGAATTCAGCCTTCAGTTTAAAAAAGAAAAAGGACTTTTTTGACTTTAAGTGGTTAATATTCTAAACTGGCAACAATTTTCAGGGTGCACTTCTTTCATCAAAAAGACCATCAATCTTTTTGTATAGTGAACTTGTATAGTGTGTTTAAATGGGGCACATTTCAAACTAGGTAATACGTCAGTGTCCGCTTGCCAATAATAGATTTAATATTCTGTTTTATACTATAAAGTTATGGAAATGCCAAACTTGTTTATTTAATTGTTTTCTTATGTTTTGGGTGTAATAGTCCTTTTTTGGTTTTTGTTTTGTTTTTTAAGGCAGGTCTGTCATTTTTGAATACTGTAAAACTGTGATAAACTTTATATTGAAGCTGTATTTTAATATGACCGCTTTGAATCCTTACGTGAAAATGTTCTGGGAGTTGTTATAAACACATCCCAAAGAAGCAATATTTAATAAAACTAGGTTAAAAAAAACAGTGACACTCACTTGTGTGTATATCAGCTCTGTAGACTTTTCAGGGCCTCCCTTCATCTTTAACCTGATGGGGCCAGTAGTTAATTTCTAATGATACGTGTCTGAAATTTGACCAAAAACATCTTCTTTGTTTCAAGGTTAATTTATTTTCTTCAGACATTCCTAACTTGACTGGTGGTGAACATTTAGTACTTTGGTTGTCTTTCACAGTAGGATTTTGGATAAAAAAGAAAGAACCCAGTCTTTGAGAAGAGACAGTGAGTAGTTCATATTGATCAAAGGTCCCAGATACTGCAGTCATTCTCATCTGTTGAGGATGCAGGAACTTTTCGGTTATCCTGTAAAATTCCGTTTACAGGATGCTTCTGCATACAGCATTAATTAGGAAACAAAGAACTTGAACGCTCTACTCTTGCATGAAATTTCTATGATGTTTCTTTATCTTGCTTAACTTCTCCCACTTGCCTTTCCTACCAAAATTGGGGTTGTTCTAAACAATCCCGGTTTAATTCATTGTCAACAAAACGATAAAATATTTTGCTTGGAAGAAACCTGGTGCAGTCCTCTCACTTTGAAGAATCCAAGATCCAGTGCCTATCCAGGGTCAAATGGAGATTCTGGTACTGACACATCTCAGCAGAGTTTCTGTTTGGAGCACTGTATTGTCTCTCCCAGTCAGTCAGGGACTTTTTTAAGCTTCAAAGAACATGATTGGAAGCAAAGGTCTTCTGGTGACGATGTTATTTGGGAAAGTTTTTAAAATAATAATACCATGCCGAGTTATCCGATCACTGTGACATTGGTTCTCCAGTAAATTTTAGATGCTTTGTCTAAATCCATTTTAAGCTGATTTGAGCTTCTGTAACTGTCAACTACCAAATTGTAGTTTCAAGCATCTCACTGCAGCTGTATCATATCTGTTCTCAACTTTGCTTGATTCTCCGCTCATTTCTGGTCAGAGTTGAGGCCTTCTTTGCCTTTCTTCTATATCTTCTGCATTCATCTGCTGCTTCTTGCCCAACTCTGCCCCTAGTCACGAGCAGGTGACTAAACTTTTATCCTTCAACTTACCTCTTATCCTTCTGTTTTCACTTCTCCTTACAATGGTAGTCACATCAGTTTGGCAATCGGAGATGTCTTTATCAAGGGTCAGCCCTTCTCTATTTGGAGCTGAATCCTTTCTTTCATGTGGAAATCTACATGTATATACAAGAAATGTATTTTTATCTGCAGGATAATATTGTCTCGAATTTGATTAATAGAGTTAACTTTTCAAGTATTTTCGCTTTTAAGTGTGATTTTGAAATGTTAATTGCATTTTTAAACATGATGCATTCAGTGGACACTTGTATTCCTAATTATAACTCATCTCTGAATGCATTGTGCAAATCAAAAGTAAGATAGGATTCTGTGAACAGCATTTGCTTTTGATGCTTATGAAGAATAAACCCATGAATACGAATTTTGATATCGTGCTTGGTATTTGGAATTGGTATACACTTTATTAAAGCTTGAAAACATTAGCATTCAAGTCTTAGGTTTCATCACAAACCATGTCTTTTGCCTCTTTTGTTACCCAGGTTCTATCAAAGGGACTGGATGCCCATAGTGATTTTTCCTAATAGGTGGTTTGGGTCTTAACTTAAAAGTGTTTTCAGTGTGATTTTAGTAATTTCAGTAATAAAATTTATACAAGTTTCAGAGAACTACCAACTCTCTCTAGTTAATTTTTATGAAGATGTTTTGGATAGTAGTCTGGTTTAGTATTAGTTTAATCTTGAAAGAAGAAATTGGTCTTGATTGGCACCTTTTTTCCATCTGCTGAAATGCTGTTTCGGAATGTATAGAAGTACTTTCAGAATTAGAGAGGGAGAAAGTGAAAATTTCAACAGAACATATCAAGTTATTAATAACAAGGGCTGAACCTTATGTTTGAAAACTAACTCTGAGTGAGCTAAGTGCAAGCATAAACTAAACTATACAGGATTTTAATTTAAATATCACTAATAACTTGACTGTGTTGCAGTTAACACAGTAACCTGTTCAGCCACAGGATACTAACAGTTTATTAGTCATTCTTTGGACCATGGTTAATTTGATAAGTTCAAGAAGTAGAATTTTGCTACTCTAAATTTGGATCCAATTCCAGCTTAAAAAGTTATCCCTTTGGGCCAGCCCCGTGGCTTAGCGGTTAAGTGCGCTCACTCCGCTGCTGGTGGCCCGGGTTCGGATCCCAGGCGCGCACCGACTCACTGCTTCTCTGGCCATGCTGAGGCCACGTCCCACATACAGCAACTAGAAGGATGTGCAGCTATGACATACAACTGTCTACTGGGGCTTTGGGGGAAAAAATAAATAAAATTATAAAAAAAAAAAAAAGTTGTCCCTTGCATGATTTTTCCCCCAAAGAAATACCTGTTACATTTTACTTTAATATTTATCATCCAAGTGTTCTTGATATAAAATCAATATACAGAAAATTTTAAGAGAACTTATATTCAGGGAACTTCAGGGACAGAAAGGAAAAATGTTAATGTATATTTCATTGTTTCTTGTGAAATTTTCTTTTTCATTTGGTTTGATGGGAGTGTACGGTATGTCTAAGGGAATGATTTGAAATTTACTTAGGATGGATTTACTATTGAGGAAGAAAAAATTAGCCGAGGCCAGCCACCATTGTGCTGCACAACTCCAGGAGACCATGATCTGCTCACAATTTTCTGTAAATTGCCTCCACTTCCAAGTGGCCAGTGATTTGTTAAAATACCTTGCCCAGGAATATGACTGATTGATGAGAGGGCACATTAAGGTCAATATAAAATAATAGCTAATATTTACTGAGAGCTTACTATTTCCAGTCACTGTTCTAAGTATTTCAGTGTGTGTTTAATCCTCACAACAACCAAATAGGATAGGTATTAATATTAATGAATATTAATATTCATCCTTTTACAAATGAGTAAACTGAGGCCCAGAGAAATGAAGTAATTTGCTAAGATCAAATTAAGTTTGCCTAAGATCAGCTAAGAAGGGGCAGTTTGAGTCCAGAGCTAGCGCTCCTAAACCCTGTGCCACTTTGCTGTGAACCACGAAGTCAGGGGAAGGCTTCAATGTTTAGACTCTTTCAGAGCCTTTTGACTACGCACAATTTTAACATTTTTTTCTAAGCTCAAGAAGCTCAATAAAAGCAACTAAAACTGAGATGACTTCTTGTCATTTGGAGTTGACAATCCATTGCCTTCTGACCCTCCTGGCACTTATTTGGAACTTAACTAAGACTGCCTTATGCAAAGAGCACTAATTATCATATAACCAAGAGTACTAAATAATCATCTGAGCTCCAATGCTTCGGGGCCATAGTGAAAGAAGCCATTATCTGGCTCGAGGCGATGCAGCCCTCCAGAATCCAGGTGATGCGTCGTGCTGTTTGCCTCTGCTAGGTGGCCCAATGGCGGATGTTTTTGAGCTTTGTGTCGCCTTGGCACACCGCAGGCACATAATAGGTGCGCGATACAGGCAGCTAGCGGGTCGCGTTTCACTAATGCCCCTATTTGCTACAGTCAATCTGTGGGCTTAGGAACAAGTTAAGTAAACTTTATAGAACTGTACAATGCAAGGAACATATGTAATTAAAGAAGTGTGTCTTGAGCACCTACATCTCAACAAAAAAACAAGATCACGGACATCAGGAGAGGGAGTCGAATCGGGGGCCGGCGGGGTCTCAGATTGGGGGAACAGAGAAGAGGGCGCAAGAGTTTCAGGTAGAGGCTTTCTGGGCAAGCACCGGGGAAGTACATGGCTGCTGTCCCCGAAAACTGGGGTGGGTCCGCCGTGCCCAGGAAGCCAGGGGCCTCCACCCCGGGGCTCGAGGACGCCGCACGGCGCGCCCTGCCAGCCCCGCCCTACACGTGGGGGCGGCCTCCGAGCGGGGACGCACCGACGGCGCCGCCTAGGCTTCTGCGCCTGCGCACTGCCGCCCGCCCCGCCCCTCGCCCTGTAGTCTCCGGGGCCGGAGCGGGACATGGTGCTGTCAGAGCTGGCCGCGCGCCTCAACTGCGCCGAGTACAAGAACTGGGTGAAGGCGGGCTACTGCCTGCTGCTGCTGCGCGGCTGTCTGCAGGGCTTCGTCGGCCGCGAGGTGCTCGCCTTCCACCGCAGCCTGCTCGCCGCTGCCCCCGGCCTGGGCCCGCACGCCACCTGCCGCAGCGGCTCGCGGTGCACCCCGCGCGCCCGCCAGGTGAGCTCCTGGCCCGGGGCCTTGACCACTGCCCTCCACCCCATCCCCGTCCCCCTCCCCGTTCCCGAGCGCAGTGTCCCGTGCCCTCCCCAGGGGGGGCCGACCGCAGTGACCGGGGCTCAGATGCCCAGTCGCCGCCCCTCCCTCCCGGGCCCCTCCTCACCGCCGACCCCTGTAGTTTCAGCCTCAGTGTCAGGTGTGCGCGGAGTGGAAACGGGAGATTTTGAAACATCATACCAGCAGAAATGGAGACGTCCACTGGGGAAACTGCCGGCCGGGCCGCTGGCCCGTCGACGCCTGGGAAGTGGCCAAGGTAAGGACCTGCGGTCGGAGGGGAGGAGGAGGTGACTCACCAGGTAGGGGTCACCTGGAGCCCTGGGCGTCTGTTGAGTCTGTGTGGCAGCCTCGGCCTCATAAACTGATGCAGAGAGAAAGATTGGGTGTTTAATCTCGGAGGCTCAGGGCTGTTATATTGGACCCAACACAGTTTAGTAAAGTAGAAGCTTTCTTCTGCCTGGCTGCTTCCTGAAGGCGTTTGAGTTTGCTTCTCCTGCTTGGAAAGCGATAGCAAAGATTTCAACAGGAGATGCTGGGGCAAGATGTAGAGCAAGGATCATGGGCACAGGCACAGAGGGAGAAGCATGTAGGGCGTTTTTGAGGGTAGGCTCGCTGGTAGCTCATTTTGTCTATAGGATGCCATGAGGATGGCAGAGAAGCCAAGGGAAATTAGGGCTAAGATAGAAAGGACCTTAAGTGTTCGGCTAAGGAATAAAACTTTGGGGAGGTGGGGGTGGGGTAGGCAGCCAGATAGAAGGAGATTATTAGTCCTGTTTTCAGATCTTGGCAACTTGACTTACTGGTTGCGCTGATTGCAGAATTTTTTTTAACTCTTTGATAATTTGCCAAAAGGGCAAGTAGGGGGTGATGAGTGGCAAAGTGGCCTCCTAACACAAATTAACTTTTGGAGTCAGTCTACATGCTGGTTAGCAGCAAGCAGCTGCTGTAGTGTGACATGGGGCCAGCCTCTGTTCCCAAACCTCAAATGAAGAAATTGGACTATATCAGTGGCCCCCAGACTTTTGGCTCTCCTGGACCAGTAAACCCACCATACCTACACCTTCTTCTCCATTTTTTTTCATTGCCACCATAGAGTTGCTAACTTCTACTTTTACTTAGAAAAGAAAAAAACAAAACTCTGCTGTGACTCTTCCTCACCTGTTTGGTCCCTGTTGCTACTTTCATACCCTCAGAATCCTCTTGAAGCCCATGCTACCTGTTTATGCCACTCTTTCACCGTCTTCATTGCTGTCACCTGCAGACCTAGTCCAACCCCATCCTCTCAGTTCCTGGGCTCCCTGCTCTAGCATCCTCTGGTCCACTCCACCTCAGCCTCCCACTTGCATGCTCAGGGGCTGTGTCAGCACAGGAAGTTGCAATGTCCAACATCCTGCTTGCCCTTGGCACACTTATTCAAACACGCTCGCCCCACCCCTTGCCCAGCTTCCGCACCTTTGAGGCTTCCACTGCTTTCCCAATACCCAGCAGCCTCTGCCCTCCTGGCTTCCTTTGTCTTCCTTTGTCTCCAGATTCCACGGTCCATCATTCTAATCAATCCCTTGCAGTTGTCTTGGCCTTTTTTCTCCTTCCTGTGAACTTGCCTGGCCCAACTCCAGCCCTGATGACACCATCATCTGCTTCTACTCGGGAAGAATCTCACAAGGGAGCTCACTGGTTTCACTTTCAGTTCATGATCATGAGCCCCAGCAGTCTGGCCATGTCTCTCCATAGGCTCCTGTTCCTAGAGAGGACTGTTGTAGCCTCACCAAGCTCCCACTCCTGTTGCTCCACCCTCACTCCCACCGCTAACCTTGCTCATGCTTCCTGGAGTTGGATGCCCTCAGATACATGCTTCCTCATCTTTTTACCAGACCCACCAACCTACCTCTGTGTGCACCATCTTCTTCCTTCTGTTACAAAGGAGAAAGGGTGTCTCTCCTCTTATCGCCCTCTCCCTCCACTTGTGTGTTGGACCTTATCCCCTCCCACCTGCCCAAGGACTTTGAGTCTTCAGTTATCCACTCTTCTTCCCTCTCAGCTTATTCCCATCACCATACAAATAGCTTTAATATTGCCTCGGTTTATTTCATTTAAAAAAAGAAAAGATTAAACAGTTACTATATGACCTAGCAATTCCACTCCTTGGTCTATACCCAATGAAATGAAAAGATACGTCCACACAGAAACCTGTGCACGAATGTTCATAATAACATATTCACAAGAGCCAAAAGGTGGAAACAACACAAATGTCCATCCACTAATGAATGGACAAGCAAAATGTGGTCTATCTGTACAGTGGAATATTATTTAGCCATAAAAAGGAATAAAGTACTGACACATGCTGCAACATGGATGAACCTTGAAAACATTAGGCTAAGTGAGAGAAGCCAATCATATATTGTATGATTCCATTTATATAAAATGTCCAGAATAGGCAAATCTATAAAGACAAAAAGTAGATTAGTGGTTGCCAGGGTCTGGGGAACAGAGCGGGGTAAGAGCTAATGGGTAGAGGGTTTCTTTTTGGAGTGATGAAAACGTTCTAAAATCGACTGTGATGATGGTTGCACAACTCAGTGAATATACTAAAAACCACTGAACTGTACACTTTAAAAAACGTTTTTATTGAGGTATAATTGACATATAACATGTTAGTTTCAAGTATACAACATAATGATTTTGATATTTGTATGTATTGTGAAATGATCACCACAATTAAGTCTAGATAACATTGGTTACCATACTTCGTTAAAACTTTTTTCTTTCTTGTGATGAGAAATTTCAAGATTTACTCTCTTAGCAACTTTCACATATGCAATACAGTATTATTAACTGTAGTCACCATGCTGTACATTACATCCCCATGACTTCTTTATTTTATAACTGGAAGTTGTACCTTTTGACTCCCTTCACCCATTTCGCCCGCCCCCCAAACCCCCTGCTTCTGGCAACCACCAATCTCTTCTCTGTATCTTTGAGCTCCATTTTTTGTTTTGTTTTGTTTTGTTTTAGATTCCACATGTAAGTGAGATTGTATGGTATTTGTCTTTCTCTCTCCGACTTATTTCACTTAGCAGAATACTTCTCAAGCAGGACTCTGCATCTCTAGCCCCTAAACCTACACCCATGCCCCACCACCAACTACCTACAGTCATTCTTGTTTCATCTCTTCCCCTCTCACTACCCCCATTGTTTGTACCTGCAAAATATTTTTGGAATCTTCCTTCTCTCCGTCTTCATGTCACAACTCTCGCCCTCTCCTGCCTGGCCTCTGGCTGTAGCCTCCCACCTGGCTACCCCTGTGGCTGTGGTCATCTCTGGTTTGTTCACACAGCAGGATGGTCTTCAAGTGGGAATTAGATCATTTTCTTCCCTTGCCTAAAACCCTTGGATGGCTTCCTGAGGTCCTTAGAATAAACTCCAAACTCTGTTCCAGAGCCAATAAGGCCCAGTAAGATCTGGCCCCTGTTTATTTCTCCAGCCTTGTCTCCTACTGCTCAGTGAAGAGACAGGAGAGGGTAGTGAGAGGCAATAAGGTGCCTTTCTTACCACTGTGCATTTACCGTGTGGAACACGGTGGTATGCGATACAATTTTAAGAAATAGCTTTCTGTGGCAAGGAGGCAGCAGAGCTTCCCTATCAGCTTGTAGTTCTGAAGAAAGGGAATAAGTACTAGAATAAAACTTTAACATGGAAGACACAGGTTTATCTTGGTGAGAAGATGCCAGATGGGACATACCTTATAATGGAAAAGAAAAACCCATGCCTGGTTTTGAGGCAACTAAGGCCCCTCTAACTTTGGATTTTCCTCTCAGCCACAGCTGAAATAAGCAACGTTTCTTTTCTTCCGTTTTACTGAATTAGTGTGGTACGTTAGTTAGCTTCTTTGTTAACATTTGTAGCATCCATAATAGGCTTCTTTCAGAGTGTTGGCACGTCAGTAGCTATTAAGACATAGAAAGACAGTGATGGTACTGGCCACCGTACCTTTTGATAGGGGCCATTCAGTGTATATAAAATTCTTAATTATGTGAGGCTCGGGGGCAGTATTCCACCAGCATCAGGAGCATAGACCTGACCCTCCTTGGGGTGTGTCAGCACCTCCCATGAGTCTTCGGAATACCATCACGAGCAGCACTGCAGGAGGCATCGTGGCTTCTTGCCTACTGAAATGTGTTTTCAAGGGAACAAGTCTCTTTATCCGGAGTTCTTATTGTGAGGAATTTTTCACGTCATCTTTTCTAGTCCCTTGGCAGGAATGTACTCTTGAGCTTCTTAGCTTGGTAGAATTGTTGCATTCAGAAGTAAATGTGGAAATATTTCAGGAAAGAAATATGCCCAGGCCTTGCTATAACACCATTTTTGGGGTCCGTGTCAAAAAATCCTATGAAAGGCAAGATCATGCTAGAACGAGGCCCTTCTGGTATATCTCGTATCTCAAACCCTGGAAGTCATCTGTAACTCATATGTAGGTCCTGCTCACCTTGCACCATCAGCATAATAATTGCCAACATTTATGGCCTGTTTATTAGCATGTGCCAGGCACCGTTCGAGTGCTTTACCTGCATTAATTCATTTAATTCTCGCAACATCCTTCAAGGTAGATGAGGAATCTGAGCGTAAGTAACTTGCTCAAGTTCACACAGTTGGCAAGTGGCAGAGCTGGGATTTGAACCCAGCTCTATTGCACTCCAAAGTCCAGACTTTTAACTTTATACAACCATGCCTAGCTTTCTCAAGTCATTTTAAAGTGGCCACTTTGGAGTAACTATTATTTTTAAATTTTCAATCTTCTTCAACAACTCAGCCATTGAAACTTCAGTAAGGAAAAGAAAAAAGGTGCTTTCTACCCATTCTTCCTGCTTTTATGTCCTTAAGAAAGGACAGAACACCAGTTATGTCAAGTGTGTAAGTGTCTCTAATAGCAGAGGGACAGATAGAGCAACCTTTCAGTTATTGCCCTTGGCCAAGGCTTAGCTGTCACACTGTTTCCTGACTTGTGTTTTGGACTCATGAGGCTCTAACTTGAAACCTCAGTAAGAGAATTTCAGTCATCATTTGGGAAACAGGCCAATAACATTTGCCCCACTAGCTCCTCGAGTTGGAGGAGACTCAAGTGCCCCTTGTGCGCCCCCTTCTACAGGCCTTCATGCCCCGAGGACTGGCAGACAAAACAGGCCCCGAGGAATGTGATGCAGTTGCTCTTTTAAGTCTCATCAACTCCTGTGATCACTTCATGGTTGATCGGAAGAAAGTCACAGAGGTAAGAGCTGTCAGATTTAAAACGATACAGTGCGAGTCTGTCGGGTGGGTACTGCGAAGACCAGCCAGGAAACACACTATGTGATGCTAAAGCAGCCATGCAGACACAGTGCATGTTCTCTCCCCAAAACGGTGGTGTGCAAAGAAACTTAGACTTTGGTTCAAAGTTGGCATTGCTATGCAGGCTAGCGGGGCTCACATCAAGTGCACCTTTGGTGATGTCCAAGAACCCCTGTGCAAATACAGTCAGGAGACTGACCCTTTAGTTCTCCCTAATTGAAGTTTCCCGACAACTTGCTGTTCTACCTTTTGACGCTAAAATAGATGAACCTCAGATTTCTCTTCCCTGTCCTGCCATAAAGAGAAGCAAAGTAATTTTCCATATTAAAAAACAAAAAAATACAAGGGCCGGCCCCGTGGCGTAGTGGTTAATTGCGCACACTCCGCTGCTGGCAGCCCGGGTTCGGATCCCGGGCAGGCACCGATGCACCGCTTGTCAGGCCATGCTGTGGTGGCGTCCCATATAAAGTGGAGAAAGATGGGCACAGATGTTAGCCTAGGGCCAGTCTTCCTCAGCAAAAAAAAAAAAAAAAAAAGGAGGATTGGCATGGATGTTAGCTCAGGGCTGATCATCCTCACAAAAAAAATAAAACAAAAAACAAATACAGAGCAATGCATCATTCTGTCCATTGTATGCCAGCATTTGAATCCTGCCCTTCTAAATCTCATTGGCTAAACAGTTGCAAGGCCAAGTTACATAGAACTGAAGAAAATACAAACACTAATGGATAAACAATGTCAGAATAGATTGCTATGCTTGTCAGATTTCCTCTGGGAGATTTAGACTTTCTCTGCTTCACCAGAGAACAGCTCTTGCACATTTATTACTCTGAGGGTCATTGAAAAGAGTTTATAGCATATGTGGATTATTTATAATATGTAGAGGAAATACATGTATATTTTGCTACCATGCCAGCAGCTGAAAAGATGAAGAATCCTTTATGACATCAGCAGAGACAAAAACTATCACAGTACTTTGATATCTTTTAACCAAAAATGGGGAAGACTTTACATGAATTATATATTAATATATGATTGGACAGAACTATTTGTCATAAAATAGAGGCAAAAGTTGATTTTCTTTTCATCATGGTTTTCACACCAAAACCTCCCTTGGCCCAGCTTCCTGGAGCTCCAACAATATTTTAAAGATTTTTGTACTGTCTGCTTCAGCCTTTGGGTATACCCAGAGCCAGTAGTCAGTACTCTTGCTCTTTGGCAGGTTGTTTTAAGTTAAGGGATTTTGGGGGATTGGGAAAGAGGTATCCAACCAGTCATAAGATGTCAAGGGCTAAAGATAGTGGGACACTTGCTCGTATTTCTTACCCTGATTAATTTATTATTCAAATGGCAGGGGGTTGAACATCCCTTCGAGCCTTGACAACGCCCACAGGCCACACTTATGGATTTTGTAATTAACAAGAGCCTTTCTGCAATTTTTCTTTGGAAATACAAAATCTCAGTTTACCCCATTGTTTGACTTTGAGGCCTTTTATCTTTTTTGTCTTTCTCTAGGTGATTAAGTGTCGTAATGAGATCATGCACTCTTCAGAGATGAAAGTGTCTTCTATGTGGCTTCGAGGTTTTCAGATTAAGATCCAAAATTTCCTGAGTGAGTTCAAGAATATCCCAGAGATTGTGGCCGTATACTCCAGAATAGAACAGGTAAAAATCATATTTAACAGTTCTGGCATAAACAACTAAGGAAAAAAACCAACCACAGTCACTCATTTAGAATTTGAAGTTTATTAGATTTAAATGGAATTTTAGAATGTAAGTAGGGGAAGAAATGTTGATATGAAATCTAGAATTGTGCTAGGCTGAGGCGCTTTTCTGTGGTCACAGGATGTTATTACAGTGGATCTACTCAATGATGTCGAATTGTAAATTGTTTGAGTAATCCATGGAATACCTTTTCCATTCAATCAGTTCCTATATTTGTTCGGTAATCCAACAGCTGTTGACATCTGACTGGGCTGTTCACATCCCCGAGGAAGATGAGCGAGATGGGTGTAACTATGAAACACGAGTTTACCTGAGTGAGAGCCAAGTGAATGAAATAGAAATGGAATTACTAAAGGAAAAACTGCGAGAGATATATCTTCAAGCAAAAGAACAAGAGATGTTGCCTGAAGAGGTAAAAAAAATATTACATCCTCTGTGTGAGTAAATAAAACAAAGGTGCCAGGGAGGAAAAGTGGCATCATTTTCACATATTGCCAGTATCTTTTTGATTTATAAGTCAAATAATTTCTAGAAATGAATATTCTTTTTGCACAGATTACTATTACCCTTAAACAAATATTTTCACTTAATCAGCAAACATTTGAGTGCTGCATATGTGCCACAAAGTGGAACAACACTGTGGTACGGGCTACCACAGAATTCAGAAGAAAAGACACTGAGGGTTCTCTGCAGGTCAGGGGGGATTGCAAAAAAGGATTTGCTGAGAAGGTGATGTTGAGCTGGGACTAGTACAGTCAAATAAGAGTTTGGCAGATTGGCAAGAGAAGAAGGGTATTCTTGGCAGAAGGAATAGCAATTGCCAAGGCATGAAAGAATGGCCTGGGCCTGGGCAAGCATAGGAGGTATGGTCAGATGTGAGGGTGCTCAGGTAGGTGGAAGCCCTATTTTGAAAGGTTTTCTATACTGCACCAAGGCGTTTGGACCTCATTCCCGAAAAACAGTAGGGAGCCAACAGATGTTTTTAAGCAAGAAAGAGTAAATGAAATAGATCAGATAGGGCTTTTAGAAAGTTAACTCTTCTGGCAGCTGGAAGTTGGAGACTAGCTAGGAGGCTCTTGCAGTCATGTGAGGGTGAGAGAAAGAGGACAGAAACCAGAGGTGTGTGGAGGAGCTAGATTCTGGAGGCATTGCTTGGGCAGAGCTGATGGCTCCTAGTGGCTGCTTAGATTACTTGGAGCATGGCATGGGGCTGGAAGGAGGTGGAGAAGGTGGGGCAGGTTAAAGGATCAACAAGGTGTCTAGCTTAGGACGCTGCAGGCTAATGATGGTTTTAAGTCCTGATAGGGAGTACAGGAGAAATGAATCCCCTTTGTGACATGCAAAGTTTAAAAAAAGACGAACAGTAATAGAATTGTATTCCAGGAAGATTCAGAAATATTCCAGCACTTGCTAGATTAGAATTCTAGATCACCAGGGGATCTTGAACAAATCATTTTACCTCTCTATTCCACCTTGTCTGAGGAAAGTAGTTTTGCTGATTATCTCATTAAACATAGACAGAGTGTTTATTTAATATAAAATGTGTATTTCATTCATTAAGCCATGCTCCTTACTGGTCCATATGCCTATGTTAACTGTTCTGACCTTGACCCAGATGCTTTATTTAGCGTGGTGAGCTCCTTTAGCACAGGGACTGGGTACCACTGGTTATTGGGTGTGCCCACCCTGGCACACAATAGGTATTTAAAATGATGAATAAGAATGTTAAATCTTCTGTTTTCTGAATCCGTGTGTTTCATCTTGCTTTATATTAAAATGCCATTAGAAGCAGCCCCAGTTCTCCTGCTGCTGCTGCTTTCCGAAGCAGAGCAGAGCAAGAGAAGACAACCGGGGGATCAGGCTCAGGGCCCCTGAGTTGTCAGTAGTTCTCCCTTCTCTCTTGAGGGAGCTGCAGGTCTTTTCCTGTTTGTGTAACAAGGAGCAAAATGCATCAGTAGCAACACACTCAAGCCAGGAGTCTGTGTAAGTTGGGAGCTGGAAGAGAACCTGGCAGTCTTATCATATCCCCTGCTTTACACGTGAGCAGTGACCCCAAAGAGCAGGTACTGTCGGATGCAAGGATGCAAGACCACATGCTGGGGTGTGAGGGCTGGCCCCGGGGCTCTCCCCGCTCTGGTCCTCTGCCTTTCCACATGCCGCGCTGTAGATCTTGTATCACCAAGGAGCTAGCAACTGTAAATTTCAAACTCTCATTATCTCTGTTTTACAGAGAGGAAATTGGGGTTAATTGGCTTGTCCTCTGGGTCCCAAAGTGTCTAGATAGAGTTGATAAATTCTCATTTTTCATGCTTTCTGTTCAGTAGACCATGGCATTTCTCTTCATATTTCAATTGATCAAAATGTAAGTTCTGATTTATTGGCATGTTATCTCTAAGAAGTTGGGGGGTGGCTTTCCACGATGGGTGAACTGACCTCTTTTGAAAGTTCAATACCATATATGGTTGTCCATGTTCTCTAGGGTTAGTCTCCAATGTCAGAGGATTCAATAAACCAAATTTCAGTGAATCTAAAATGCCATCAATTGAAAGACACACCATTAATTCGGTTATTTCTAAGAAAGAAAAAATTGCCAATTTATTGTAAGACACTATCAATGGTAAGATGCATTCTCATTTGAGATGTTAAAATATGAAAAAATATGCATCTATAAATCGAGAAATACAGTGATTATATTATGACCACAGGACTTTTTTTTCAAATGTTTAACAAGACCTGTTTCTGATATTCAGTAAAAGAGTAGAGCTAGGGTTGGAAAGCCAAATTGAGAAAAAATGGTTAATGGTGGTAATTTAGTGTGAAGGTTACCGCAAACACATCACAGAGCATAGGAGTGCCAAGGAACACATCGCAGAGAGAGCTCCTCATCTCTATTCTTTTCTGTTCGATTGACGAGCTTTAATGATATATAACATTATAAAAAGGGGCTCCCATTAAAGTACACTATGCGTGTATAACTGGGATTGTAAAATGCGTTCTGCTTCAGAGCCAAATGGGAGCAGCAGCTGCTCAGGCCCCTCAGGACATGTATGGAGTGTGTCCACCATGGGCCCATCTGCGACAGAATTCAGCTGCCACTCAAGAGCCCTTCACGTTGTCCCGCCAGCCCTCGGTGCTCTGTTAGGATCTGGGGGCTTAAACATTTAGCTCGAGATCGTTCAGCGCAGTAAGTGGCTAAAAAACATGTAAAGAATTTGCACGTTCTTTAAAATCCTTACTGATTTCTTAAACCCTGGTGAGGGAACCACCTTCACAGAGATCCATGGAGAAGCTTGAGGAGAAGGGACAGTGACAGAATGTACTCGAGGCAGTCGGAGAAAGGAGCGAAAGGACACTTCATTTTTTATATTCCAGAAATATTTACTGAGCGAGCGCCTACTATGTGCCAGGCACAGTTCTAGAAGCTTGGTATGCATCAATGAGCAAAACAAAGATCCCTGAAGGGGGAGACAGACAGTATACAGACAACATAGTAAATAAAAGATGTGGTGCATTAGAAGAAGGAGAAGCACCGTGTCGAGCCAAGTATGGGGGATCAGGAATGGCAGAGTGGGGATGAGTGTCAGAGTGGCCTCATTGAGAAGGTGAGACTTAGCAGTACCTTGGAGGAGGTGAGGATTAACCATGTGCACATCTGGAGGAAGAATGTTCAGGCAGAGGGAACAGCAAAAAGTTGAGCAGGGTGGCTGGAGTGGGGTGAGGGAGAGAATATTGGGTGAGGAGGTGACAGAAGTGGAGGTGGAGGAAGCAGGTCACATTGGGCCTTGTGAGCCATTGGAAGGACCTAGGCTCTTACTCCTGAGAGGGGAGCTGTGCCAGAATTCTGAGCAGCAGAATGACATGGCTGTTATGTTGAGGTTGCCCTGTGGGAGGACGGGAAGAATGATAAAAGCAGGAGACCTGTTAGGAGGATGCCACAGTTACCAGGTAAGAGACATGGTGTTCGGACCAGGGTGGAAGTGTAGAGGTGGTAAGAAGGTGGGCAGATGTGACATGTGAGAGATAGAGAGGCGTCAAAGACAAGTCCAAGAATTTTGGCCTAAGTGACTGGAATAATGGAGATGCTAAGCATCTTTTGCCTAGAACAGTGCCTGGGACATAGTCGAGTCTCAATAAACATTTGTTAAATGAATGTAGGAGGGAAGGAATGTACCAGACACAATGCTAAGTGCTTTTAGTAGATTATTTCTAATCCTCACAAGAATCCTAGATGGTGTTGGTATCATCATCCTTTATTTGTTTACATGGAAGTGAGCTCAGAGAAGTCGTGCCTTGCCCAAAGTTACACAGCTGGTTAAGTGACAAAGCTGGGCTTCAATATCCGAGTCTGTCTGGATATTCCATAATTTTTCTAGTACTTTCAGTTTTTCCATCTTGACTTCCTCTTCTCCCTTTACATATAAATTCGCACAAGCCTTCACCATTCTTAATTTTTTTTTAAAAAAACCTCCTTTTGACTCTTTCTCCCCACCCACCCCACCCAGCTAAAATAATTGCCCCTCTTAAGCACATTTCAAGAGCAGAGAGGGTCAAGAGGTGACAGCAGAAAGGATCACAGCTCCCAAGTCATCAAATGAGAAGGTCTCCAAACAGGGGGAGGGAGGACCCCACTCCATCTTGAAGCGTGTGTGTGGTGCACAGACCCAGCCAGCACAGTCGTGGGCATCTGATGGGAACCATGGGAAGGACCCTGGAGTGTGTCTAGGGCCCCAGGCACAGGCAGTAACCACTAATAGTGCAGTACCCATGGTTACTAATGTGCACTGTGAATAATGTCATTGGTGTAATCTTTGTTTCACGTTTTTATGGTGTCCAGATTTATTGTTTAAAGCCCAGAGGCCAGTCTGGTGGCATAGCGGTTAGGTTTGCATGCTCCGCTTCGGGGCCCGGGGTTCACCGGTTCAGATCCCAGGCACAGACTGATGCACCGCTTGTCAAGCCATGCTGTGGCGGCATCCGATATAAAGTAGAGGAAGATGGGCACGGATGTTAGCCCAGGGCCAGTCTTCCTCAGCAAAAAGAGGAGGCTTGGCAACGGATGTTAGCTCAGGGCTGATCTTACACACACACACACACACACACACACACACACACACACACACACACACTTAAAGCCCAGGTATCTTTCAGGAGCTGTAGGCTTGTTTCCAGCCGTGTAATGAACAGTTGCCGCTGAGGGGCGTGTCCCCATCTACTTACTAACCTATCTGAAGACCTCCCGTCATCCTCAGCTCCTCCCTGGCCTTCCCTGCTCCCTGTTTGTCCTGGCCACACGCCATAGCCGGTCTTCCCCCTCCTTTCCATCCCTGGCAGCCATCATCCAGCATCTGGCTATTTTATTCGCTAACATCACAATAACCTGAGTGCCTGCTTAGGTTCCACCCTAGACCTACTGCATCAGGATCAATTATGTACATCTCTAAAGTTTAAGAACCACCTCTCTGCTAGCGGTGGGGCAGTCCATCACTTTTCTTCATTAGATTTAGATCATCTTGACTTAGCTTGGAGTTGGGGGTACCCCATTAAAAAAATTCAACACACCCAAAATTATGGGTAACTCTCATCTTTGTAGTAAGCACAGTGAGGGTATTCTGGGATAAGCCCAGTGAAAACACTTCTATGGTACTATTCTGAGAGTACTTTTAATAGTTTAAATGTTGGAAGTACGTTACTGGTGGGAGTTTAAATTGGTACAACCTCTATAGATGGCAGTTTTGGCAAAGTCTATTAATAAATTAAAACAGAAAACTCCATCAGAATTAAAACTGCATTCCACTTCTAAAAACAGATCCTACAAGTAGACTTGTCACTTATGCAAAATGATGCATGTACCAGGTTAGTTACTGCAGCAGTGTTTGTCTTAGGAGAAAGTTTGAAACGATATGTTAAAATATGAAACATCCGTAACTGAGGGGCCGGCCCCGTCGCTTAGCGGTTAAGTGTGCTTGCGCCACTTCTGGCGGCCTAGGTTCGGATCCCGGGCGCACACCAACGCACTGCTTGTCCGGCCATGCTGAGGCCGCATCCCACATACAGCAACTAGAAGAATGTGCAACTATGACATACAACTATCTACTGGGGCTTTGGGGGGGAAAAAAAAAAAGGAGGAGGATTGGCAATAGGTGTTAGCTCAGAGCCAGTCTTCCTCTAAAAAGAAAACAAAAAGAAACATCCGTAACTGAAATACTGTTCAGCCATTAAAAAATACATGAGGCCACTCTTTATAATCTGATATAGAAAAGATTAGTTGAAGAACAGACTCTAGTGTGCTGCCAATTGTATTTTTAAAAATGTGTATACAATATATACATGTGCTGACACATAAATGCATAGAATATCTCTGGAAGAAACACAAGAAACTTCACTGTGATCACCTCTAGGGGGAGGAGCTAGGTGGCTGAGGACAGGGTTTGGAAGAGGACTGACTTTTTACCTTGTACCCTTGTGTTCATTTTGAATTTTGTACCCATACATATATTACTATTAAATATATATACATATATACATACATACCGTGGGTATCTATATGTATGTATATGTGTATACTACTATTAAATGTATATACACATACATACATACCGTGGGTATCCATATGTATGTATATGTGTATATATATTTAATAGTAATACACGTACAGGTACAAAATTCAAAATGAAAGGACTTCATTTTATTTTATATATATGTGTATACATGTGATATATATATGTGTGTGGCCCTTTCATACAAATGCAGGAAGTTTTAAAGCAAAAAAATTTGAGGAGACAAGCAAACACCACCTTGTGTGGCCCAGAACCAGCTATCCTGGGTCTTGTTTTATTTGAGTCGAGGATGCTTTGTTTTAAAGGATGTTTTGGGGGGCCGGCCCCGTGGCGTAGCAGTTAAGTGCATGCACTCCGCTGTTGGCGGCCCGGGGTTTGGATCCTGGGCACACACCGATGCACTGCTTGTCAGGCCATGCTGTGGCAGCATCCGATATAAAGTAGAGGAAGATGGGCACGGATGTTAGCCCAGGGCCAGTCTTCCTCAGCGAAAAGAGGAGGATTGGCATGGATGTTAGCTCAGGGCTGATCTTCCTCACAAAAAAATAAATAAATAAAATAAAGGATGTTTTGGTTTTATTTTTCCAACCTTAACCTGTCTGCAGAAAGATGCCTGTAGCCAAGGTTTCTGTCTCTTGGTGGACACATGAGCAGGAGCCAGTCTTGGAGCTAGTAAGTTTTTCATTTGAATTACAAGTCTGCTATAAAATTATCTCAGCTGTACATTGTATGGTTTCTTCTTGCAGATCTTGAATCAACTGCAAGTGGTGAAAGCATTTCTGAGAGACAACAAGGATCTTAGAAATGGTCTTACAGAAGATGTGCAGAAGCTAGACAGCCTCCATCTACAGCATCAAAAACCGGATTCAAAGGAACCTGGGGCACAGACACCCGAAGGGAAGGCCTGAGATGAGTTTAGGCATATGAGGTTAAATAAGGACAGGATAACCTCATCTCTTTGATGGCTGTTCTCTTATGTAAGGCCATAATGAACACACCACTTAGTCTCATCTGAAGTTTCCCTATGTCCTTATTATTTGAAAGAAAGGACACTGAGCTTTGTGCTCTTTCTAACTGATAATTCTCACATCGGTGAAGTAATTCAACATAAACTCCCTCTCAGGTTTGTTGAGTCAAATATACCTTAAGTCATGGGTCTGCTGTTAAGTGAATCAACTTGATAACATAATCAAAAAGCATTTCAGCCCTAAAGTGGTGCCGATGATGCCTAGCTGTTAGCTGCGGCATCAATAGCAACTCGTTAATTTCCGTAAGAAAAACTTGTGAAAATAAATAACTGTCTTCAATATTTTACTTTTTTCCCCTCAAATAAAGAAAACTAAATATATTCTTTGATTTTAGGTTGCCCTTTGACAAACATCAGGCATGTTCTATGGAAGTCAGTATGGCATCCATCTCAGCCATCCTTTTCTGTACAAGGGGAAAAACTTACAAGAGTACTCCACCCAAACAAAAAGGAATTTTTGTTCTCTTTTCCTGGACTTTCCTTTGACTCTTTGGGAGTATTTTTTTTTTTTATATTCGTAAGCTTGATGTTGTTTGACCTATACCAACCAAAAAATATTAGATACTCTTGTGCCAAAACTTGCTATTATCCAGGGGTTTTTCTTTTTTTTGTTCTTTGGGTGTTTTTTTTTTTTTTTTTGCTATTTAAAAGATGAGATTCTTTTCTGGTCCTAAACTCTAGTTGCTTAACACAGTAAAGGCTGTGTTCGGCCAGGCCTGTGTGAAGGGTCACACACAATTTTCTGCCCACTGACACACAAGTCCTGCCTCTGCTCCCCCTTCCTGAAAGTCTCATTCATGAGATGCCCAAGGGGTGGGCTGTGATATAAATGTTGAGATATAAATCCTTCCTTTTTGGAAGAAGGCAAGAAAAAAAATTGCCTGACAGGCCATTTTCTAGCCATTTCCAGTTAGTACAGAAGTGTTACTACCTGGTGTTTCTGGTAGCCTGAGGCAGCAGGGCAAGGAGATGGGCTCAGGCTGGTCTGTGGGGGCTGGCGAACACAGTGACTTGACTGACCAAAGCAGGGGGAGGGCCCAGGCCAGCATCACAAACAGGGATGTTGGGGAAAGCTCCGCAGTGGCTGGCTTGTGTATGGCACCCTTAGGAAAAGCAAACTCCCACAGCAGTCACAGCTCTTTCTGTTCAGTAATATCCCGAGTGCTGAGCGCAGGGCGTGTCCTCATAAGCTCGATGAATATTTGTTGACTGAAGGTCAACTGATAGCTGAGGAGTATTCAGAGACGTAAATGTTATACTATTAACTAAGCGTGGTCGTTTGTTATGACATTTAGGAAGGAAATTCCAACATTCTTATGGAAATTGAGACATCATTTTCTTTCAACAAATACATAAATTCATTCATGCTTCCTCTATTCCTTTTACCCAAAAAGTCATCCACTTCTGACTGTCCTATTTGTTTCCTGAACTGTGAAACCGCTGTCCTGTTGTATACAGTGGTCTGTGGGATCAGCCTCACCACCACCTTCCCCTACATCTCATTTCCAGAGCCCCCAGTACTTAACTGGGCCATGTCGCCTATGGACCTTCAGGGACAGAATTGCCATATTCCTCACTGCCCAGAGGAAGTACTTCCATTCCGAGCCCAAGTGAAGCCTTGCTCCTTGGCTTACCCAGCTGCCCGTCAAGGATGTGATCGGTAGAGAATGGGTGGAGGGTAGGGTATATTTGGTATATCTTTGGATTAAAATGCATTTAATGTAATTCTGTAAAACCTGGGTGAATGGAAATGTGCCTGTAACTTCCTGCTTTAACCTTTCCCATTACTATTTGGTCTTTAATCTTACATTTTCTTTCTCCCTTTATCTCACGCAGTTCCTTTAGAAGACTTCAATAGTAAAGTAAGAATTTTCATTCATCTTGCAACCCCCCCCAAACTAAGAAACTTAATGAAATATTTCCCAGCTGCTAGATATAAGATACAAAACTTGAGACCAAATTAAATCTTGTTTCACTAACCACTTTAAGACCTGATTTCTAACTTTAGGAACTTGGGGTTATGAACACTTTGATTTCATACCTCTCGTATCTAGTTAGTTTTTCCTTACGTATCCAACAAACATTTTTCAACTGTCAACCATGTGCCGGGCACTGCAGTGGATGCAAATGTGAGGATTTGTGAGGTACAGACAATGGTATATGAGCTGTCATTTTACTGGATTTATTGTCTGCTCTGATAGAGAGATTGTTCAGAAAACATTATACTGTCAACATTTAATTACATTGAAATTGAAATGAAGAAAGGAAGACATGCCCAGAGCGGGCTTTAAAAGCAAATGTAGCATGTACAGGGCCATCAACCTGTGGGCCTCTTCTGCAGATCTGTGCACGTGGGTGCAGGGCATGCTCAAAAGGGTGTTCACAGCAGCGTTGGCGGCCAGCCATTAAGAGAGGGCTGGTTATACAAATCACAGCATGTCCATGCTACAGAGTATTATGCAAGTGTTAAAAAGAATGAGGTAATGCTGCAATGCAGTAATATGAGTGGTCTCTAAGACATATTAAATAGAAAAGCAGAATGTTTAACAATGCATAGCATGCTGTGAAACTATTTGTATTTTCAAATACTAGAGGTCTGGAAAGTTGTGCGCTTTTCCCAGGCTTTTTTGCTGTGTTCCCTCTGTGAAAGGACTGGAGTTGAGGGGGTTGGTTAGAAGAAATTCGGCTTTTCTATTTTGTATACTCCCATATGAAATTTTTACAACATGCACTCATGAATTTTGAGGTTTTTTAATTAAAATTTTTAATTTCAACATAATAAAGAGACATGAACAATATAAGTTCAAACTGCAAGCCTTATGTGTCACATTTCCTGAAATGTGATGTCACCTCCAATTTTGTGGGTATCAGCTCCACCTCCGGGGGCACTTGTGAGGGGTCAGCGTCAGAAGCCCAGGAAGGAGTTTCCTTTCCGCACAGGGCTCTTTCATCTCAGAGTGCCTTGTTTTCACCCAGCGCTGTGATTTGCTCTCAGTCTCTCCCTGGGACACAATAGGTGGTTCATAGTTTTGAAAGAATTAGAGGAGAAAAATGGTTTTAGCATTATAGTTGCAAAGATAGGCAGTTCTTTGGATTTTAGCCTATGCATTGTCAGGAAACCCAGAGGACCTAAGGAGAAAGACATTATTAAACTCAGTATAAAACACAAATTCTGGGGGCCAACCCGGTGGCATAGTGGTTAAGTTTGTGTGCTCTGCTTCGGCAGCCCAGGGTTCTCAGGTTCACATCCCGGGCGTGGACCTACACACCACTCATTAAGCCGTGCTCTGGCGGTGTCCCACACACAAAATAGAGGAAGATTGGCACAGATGTTAGCAACAATCTTCCTCAAGCAAAAAGAGGAGGATTGGCAACAGATGTTAGCTTGGGGCCAATCTTCCTCACCAAAAAAATAAACACGAATTCTGGGAACTAACAAAAGTGTGTCAGTAACAAAAACTTCTGGAAAAATAACTGCCAATTCAGAAAATGTTATTGGCTTCATAAAGTAGTAGTAGAGATCTGTAGACAGTCAAGTTGCCAAGGCCAGAAAGGATTACTTTTGAGAGTTTTGGGAGATTATGAAATCATTGTCACCCTAATGATTTGAAATGTTTACTTTTTTTACAGTATTAATCACTTATATGGCTTTAAACAGTAATATCCTAGGCAACAAAGGGTTAGACCTCTTAGTTGGGTGGGCACACTATGAATTAGATCCTATAAGTGGAGCATGGCATGGAGTGGAGGGGTGCAATCTTTTGGATATTTTCTCTAATCATTTTGCCCTCTAAATTAGAAATGTAGAGTGATAGGAAATGATCAGCAGGGATTGCCTCCTTTTCCCTTACCAGGTTAATTAGAAACCTACCTGCTCTGAAATGTCTTCAACAGACAGAGGCCTTTTATTGAAATATAATACTCAAATTACAAAATACATTTTGTAAGACAAATCTAAAAATATATTAATTTCTACTCATGTAACAGTGAAGGGAAAAAAATCCTTTCAAGTTTTAATAAAAATCTTGATAAAAGGTTATGATTCACTTCAGAACTTTAAGAACTACTTTTTATTATTGCATTACAGTCTGAAGTATCTAAAATATTAGGAGCTACCACTATCTTCAAGACTTCTTTCCTGCTTCTCAAACCCATGCTCTATGATATATGCACGTTAGTAATGACCACAAAACTGTAAACTAAGCATTTTCTGACATCTCTTTGGGAAGGTGGGCAACGACCTTACATACAAATTATTACTTTCTACTGAGTTTCAGAAAGGCATGACAACTTTTATTTCAGAACCATGTGTGGTAACCAGCCTCCAAGATGACCCCCAATGATCCCTGCCTCCTGGTCTTCTCACCCTTGTATTGTCCTCCCACAATGTACCAGGGTGGGTCCATGTGACCAATAGCTGAAGCGATGGTTTGTCACTTCCCAGATTAAGCTATAAGACTGTGGCTTCCATCTTGGCCTTCCTATCTCTTGGAACATCTTCTCTGGGGGAAGCTATGTTGTGAGCAGCCCTATGGCCCACACGAGGAGGAACTGAAGCCTCCTGCAAACAACTGTGTGAGTGAGCTTGCAAGTGGATCCTCTAGCCCCAGGAAAGTCTTCAGAGACTGCAGCCCCAGCTGACAGCTGAGAGACCCTGAGCTAGAAGCACCCAGCTAAGCCACTCCCAGATTCCCGACCTTTAGAAGTGGTGTGACATAATATTTGTTGTTTTAAGCTAAGTTTTGGGGTGATTTGTTACACAGCAATAGATAACTAATACACTATAGTTTTCCAGGGTTCCCCCCCACACCCCTGTATGCAGAAGGTGAAATGCAGAAACTGCCTACAAACAGGATTACTGCTTAGATGCCACAGAAGATAAAGGGGAATCTTCCAGAGTTCCATTTACATTGTGCCTGTCTTATCCAAGACCTGATGTCTTCACAACCTTTCAGAGTTGTTTTCAATTTCTTTGCATTTGAAATCATTAACAAAAGCAGAGTTTAAGCACTCTTAAACGCATACACTGGAGTTTCCCAGTGTATGGAACTGGAACGTTCCCCAGTTTCTGGAACTTCTTGCATCCTCCAGAGCCAGGTGGAGATTTGGGGTCAAATCCTACAGGGCAGCCCCTGTTGCAGAGGTAATGGCCTCACACCCACTGTCCCACCCTTCTCTTTTCCCTCCTCATGCTCCCTGCTTTAAGAAAAGTCCTTAACATCCATAGGAATCCTAGGGGGGATACTCTGGGCTACTACTGGTGACCACTGACCCTCACTCCCAGTGCAAGCTAGTGTTCAACACAGGGTGATAGGTTAACCAGTTTGACAAACTGTCATTTCCCCCATTTTTAGGCACGAGGAAAAAAGGAAAGGATTATAATTTTGTCATTTTTGTTTTGTAATTACCTAGCACTGAGGGTTAACAGCAACGGACCTCAGAGTTGTTTATTCTGTTTCCATGAAAGATTCCATAACTGCTCTTGATCACCAAGAGAGTCTAGGTTCTCACTTTAAGTCCTCCTTAAAAGTCTAAACTGGATCTCACTGAATTCATTTAAACCCACTTCGAAGTATCGCCCTCAGTAGAAATTGCCTTTGCGCATTTTTTGGTGTAACGAGATTTATGGTTGTACCAAGTTTTAGGTCATGTGTGTCACTAACCACTCTTATTTGGCCTGGATACCCAAAACAAGTAACAAAAACACGTTCCCCAAGAGAACTTCAAACAACAAAAAAAGCAATGAGTTAGATAATTTGAAGCATCTTCATTCAGTGTCCCTCCCCTGCATAAACTAACCCTCGAGTTGCAGATCCCGTCCCGTAAAGAGGAAGACCAGCCAATCTACCCTCACCTTCTCAAACACATTTTATTTCCAGATCACGAAATAAACAACACTCAACAGCCTCAGTTCTGTGCTATTTTCCATTTTTTATTAACCAAACTGCAGGTTTAAATCAGATTCGCACTGTTTCAGAGTCAAAACCAAACTTTTCATTGGTCTTTCTTGAGGAAGAAGAATAGTTCAGTGCTTTCAAGCCGCAAAGATGCAATCGGGCCCTCTCAGCAATGTTTCGGGGACTACAGACCGAGGTTGACGGCCGGCTGGCCGGAGCCGGCCTCCTCAGGGTCGCAGGTGGTAGCTGTAGTGGTGGTGGCAGTGGCTGCTGTGACGGTGGGGGCAGCGGGGGCCGCCGTGGTGCCGCCGCCGTAGTAGTGAATTAGGTAACGGCCCGCCTGCACACTCTGCGCCACCACGTTGGTGCCATGGCACGCCATCAGCAGCAAGTTTCGAGGCTGGACGCGGTAGGCGAAACGCATGAAGGCCATGGAGTAGAAGATGAGCGCTGTCGTCATGCGGCCGCTGATGATGTCCGGTGGTGCGTTCATGTCCTTAAAGGCGGCCAGCGGCAGGCCCCAGTTGGCCACTGGACCCCAGAAGTGCGTGCTCATCAGGTATTCCCGGAACTCCTTGGTCTTCATGTAGTCCCTCGCTCTGCGCCACAGTGCTGCCACCGCCGCCATGATCGTCGAGCCGTGGGAACGCCAACGGACTAACAGCCAGGCCACAGTGACGTGGGCCTCGGCGGCTGCCCGAGGCCTCGCACCGTCGCGTCACTGCCGTAAAGTGCGTCGGACAGCACGTGCCGCTGTCATGCGCGCCTCTGGGGGCGAGAGGTGTGGCCTCGCCTTCCCGCCTTAGTGTGACTACCGTAAAGTGTTGTGTGAGAGAGAGAGAGAGTGTGAGAGAGTGTGTGTGTGTTGTGTGTGTTGTGTCTGTGTGTGTGTGTCCAGCAGCTCCCATCTTAGCGTGACTGCTGTAAAGTGTGTAGAGTGTGGTGCGTGTGTGTGTGGGGGGGTGTCCTTCCAGCAGAGACAGAACCCTAGCCTCGTCCTTCACATCCTGTCGTGCTGCGGTCGCCTTAAAGCTCTCAGGGCCCCAGGAGGGAGGTGAGAGTCCGGCTGCCTGCTTCTCCTCAGCTACACAAAGGGAAACTTTGCTCGTTCTGTCCACTCTGGACAGTGTTGACACGAAATTCCTCAACCAGGTACAGAATTTTAGTCCTTACACAGTTTGCCTGAGTGTTACTTGCAGACACAGTGACATTTCCCCTTCAAATATTTCAGCATCTGGCTCTTAATAAGGACATTCTCCTACTTAACCACAATACAATAATCCACTCAGATACTTAACATTTAATACAGTACTATTAGCTAATATGCAGTGCATATTTAAATTTTATCGTTTTATGGCTGTTTTTTTTCTGGTTGAGGGGAGGAGATCCAGGATCCAATCAAGATTCACATTTAGTTATCATCTCTTTTGGATTAATCTCTCTCAATCTAGAGGAGTTACCCAGCGTTTTTTGTCTTTTGTGACATTGACATTTTTGAAGAGTACAAGTCAGTGGTGTCTCCAAATGTCCTTAATTTGGATTTGTCTGTTTTCTCATAATTTGATTTAGGTTAAACATTTTTTGGCAAGAATACAGGTGATGTTGTGTCCTTAGTGTGTCACAGTGGGAGGCACATGATGTCACTTTGTTCCATCATTGGTGATATTAAGTTGGATCATTTGGTTAAGGAGTCGTCTGCTAGGTTTCTCCATTGTAAAGGTACCATTTCCCTTCTGTAACCAACAAATAATCCAGGGGGAGCCTCTTTGAGAGTGTATGGATATTCTCTTCTCCAACAGTCTTTCACCTAATCGTTAATATCCATTGATGAAAATTTTTAGTGACAAAACTGATGATTATTTTCCCCGTTTTCCACTTTTTCCAATAAAAACAATTGTTGAAAA